TCCGTCAATCCGAGCTCTGCGACTGCAATCTGCTCCACTTCAAGAGTTTGCAACGGGCTAACTGTGGGGCAGCTGCGATTAGTAGTTGTAAGGCGCAAGGAAGCTCCTGATACAGCGGCACCGGTCATTGGTGACGCTGACACAGGTGTTTTATTAGGGCGAGGGCTTGTGGTACGTGACGAGCTTAGTTGGCTTCGCCCGATTGAACAGATCTGCGGTGGCACCAGAGGTTGTCCCAAAATCGCACTTCCCTTCCGAGACTCTCGTGCGCGTGCCGATGCCCTGGATAGTTCGCGGCCTGAATAATTACCACTGCTGAGCTTCGCATCGCTCCGTTCATGGTCGGAGTCCCCGTTCTCACTTTCCTGAGGGCTGTCGAGTACATTTTCTGTCCAGTGAAGATTCTTCCCACCATTGGTTCCAGGCCTCGGCCTCCTATTGAAGCTGACCAATCGATCCTCGTCGGCGGTAGTGTCGTCGTTTCTGATCTCCTCAAAAACTCTTCTTTTATCAAACTTGGACAGATTGCTTTCGAAATCGAACTCGCCCATCTCCTGAATGTCTGTTGCGTCCTCAGTTGCCCAGCCGTTGGGATCTTCAGCATACCCACGGCCCTTCTTCTTGCGACGTCGTCCAGCTGAATCGGGAAAGCTTTCCTTGTATTTTTGTGTAGTTTTAAATTCAGATGTGTGGGCAGGCTGGACAAATGCAGTCTGACGCCAGCCCTTGGTTTTCGGATTGGTATTATTAGCACCATCGTGCTCATTGACGGCGATGTTTTGAGGATGCCTTGTCCGACCACCACGGCGGCTTTGCTTTGTCGTAAATTGTGAAGCAGCTTGTAGCGGCGCCAAGCCTTCATTTTCATCCTGCGCATCCTGCGGCTCTTCCGTCTGCGGCGCGACCTTAGCAGCCTTAACATTGTTGTCAACATTCAGCTCCAGATTGCTGAATGGTTCTGTTAGGGCAGCTGAAACCGTCGCGTCTCCATAATGAGCTTGTTGCGAAGTCTGAAATTGCTGAGCGCTCGGCACATTCGGAATGGATTGACTCTGCAAATCGGGCGGACTGAATGGTCTGGAAGGCGGCTTTCCATAGCTGACAATTGCCGGATCAACGAACGCTTGTTGGGTTGGAGTTGCGGATGACTCGCGAGGATGTCGGTTTTCCTGGTTGGCATAGGTGCTCTGAGTGTTAGAAGGCCCGAGAGAGAGATCTGCAATGTCGGGAGCTTCGATGGAATAGGCGGGCAATTGTTGGCCGGTCCAAGAAAGCGTCACTGAGAACCACAAGTTAGATTGATGCGACTCAGTCTGATCAAGACACACAACACATACCGTTCCTTAGCATTAAACGTTGACCAATGACGTTAGCCACCACTCCTTGAACGCTTGCATTCGGTGGTGCTCTAAGCGTCACAAGGACATTGTAGCCAATAAACTCCGACGCCATGCTGTAGATCAGATACTAATCACTCAAGTATCACTGTTCTGATATTTGAGCGGCATGAAGGCTGCGAGGAAAGGTGAGGGAAAGTAGAGGAAGGAAAGCGTTGTACAGCGTCGCAAAAGTGAATTGTCACTTTGTCAGGCTGCAACCGCCTTGATATAGCATCACGTGCAGAGTATCTTATCGATAAGCGGGAATGTGGCAGCAGCTTGTATTGGACCCTCGTGTCTCTTCATTTTTCAATCAATCCAGTAGCAAGATCCCGATCTCGGCAATCTAAAGCAAGGCTACTGTTGTCTTTGATTGACCTAGATTGACTTTGACAAGTGCTTGGGGGGATAGCACTATCTCCGGAGACCACAATGTTTTACCTGGTCCTTCATTTGGCCGACAACGCCCGTACATGCACTATCTTATTGAACAATTCCATTGAACATCGCCCGGATATCGATATTTGCACCTCTTCTCAAAGATAAATAGCCCATAATAATAACATATAGAAGAAAATGTATGACGCAAGGCCTAGACAATGCCGCTAGTATCACGGAAATTCGACGTTGACATTTGTATACCACCCTCAACCGTATAGATGCTGCAAGAGCTCTTCATCATCCAATTGAGCATCTTCGTCAATTTCTTGTTGCTCGCCAGTCTTTGAGATCTTCGGAGCAAGCACATCGCTAATACTAACAAGATTTGAGTAGAATTCTGTGACCCTGGGATGTACCATGACCTTGCGTGCGTCGAATCTGGTGACTTGAAGACCAGCTTTCGAGGTTGCACGACTCAGAGCGACATAAGCCTGTCCTTTCTCAAATACCCGGCCGAGATCGACCTTGACACGCTGCAAAGTTTGGCCTTGCGCTTTGTGGATGGACAGTGCCCATGCGAGGATCAACGGTACCTGTTGGCGCTGGGCTTGCACTTCGCCGTTCGGAAGCTCAATCTTCCAAGCCTCTGGTTGGCAGAGCAAGTGCCGCTCCGTTCCATCTGGCTGGACGAAACAAACAAGAGGCCATTTTCGACTTACCACAACGCCTCCATCCTTATTACCAAGGCCCTTTAGCTTCTTGCGAGCATGGTTTAGTCTCTCGTCGTCACTCCCGGCATCTTGCCCACCAGAGAATTCGCTCTCATTGTCGCGATAGTATTCGAATGTCGCTTCATCCATGAAGGCGACAACTCGCCCAATTGAGCCGTTCACAAGCGAATCTTCCATATTTTTGATCAGCATTACCTGCGCGCCTTTCTTTAGGTGTATGACAGATGGTGCCATGCAATTGGCCAGCAACTTTTCACGAAATTGGACGTCTTGAATTGTCCCCGAATCAACTGCATGAAAGGTCATCGTCTCGCCAGAGAGCCTGCTCATCCGTGCGCTGTTGGCCTGTTCCACTTCTTGACGAGTAGGAAATCTGAGGAAGACATATTAGTCTCATCATCGGCTGGAATTAACTGAGATGACTTACAATTCCGTCGCTTCAAGTGAATCATGAAAGTTCAGTGGACGGGACAGTGATTTGAACGTTTCGATTGTCCGAGGGGTTAGTTTACCCAATCTCATTTCGTTGAGCATTTCGGCGAATTCAGGGTCTTTTTGACGAAAGACATGAGTCAGGAGAATGGTATGCTGGATCGATGTATTCCAAGTAGCCGCTGCAAACGCGAATTTCGCCTCTCGGTTGCTACCTTCAGGCACTGGGGGCAGTTGAAAGAAGTCGCCAGTAACGACAAGTTGAATGCCTCCGAATGGGCGGCCATTGTTCCTGATTCTTCGGGCGATTTCTTCAAGCTTGTCGAACAAGTCACCATCAACCATAGACACTTCATCGATGATGAGCACCTTGGTTCGAAGCCAGCGATTCCGAGCTTTTTGGTTTCTCTTGATCTGTAGTTTGATTGTTAACGAGTATGACCAAAGTAGCGGCAGAGAACTGTCTAACTTTCTTGACCAATTCGGGAACAGGCTCTTTACCCAGCCCAATTCCAGCAAAACTGTGCAGAGTGACACCCTCAATGTTACAGGCAGCAAGACCGGTAGAAGCTGTGACTGCCACGCGATCCGGCTCCTTTCGATATTTGCTCCGTAACTGTTTGATTATTTCTCTCATAAGTACGGACTTACCCGTACCGGCAGAACCAGTAAAGAATATGCTTTTGCCCTGGTTAACGACCGTTTCGAGGACATGACGCTGTTCATCACTGAGAAATAAGGACGCAAGTTTTGGACGGGTTTGAAGCTGCTTGGAGTTTGTATCGCCTTTTTGGTTTCTCTTATGCTGTCGCCGAAGCTCTTTTTGCTCTTCCTTGATCGCACTGGCGGACTTGTTCCAGATTGCAGTGGACTTGGGACGAGCGGGAGTTTCTGGTTTCTTGTATTCATCCACTTTTGTCGATTCCTCGTTCTTGGTGAGCCATGGTAATGTTCGACTATTACTCGGTTGCTGGAGGTGGTGTGGGGGCGAGGACGACCACGGAATCTGGATGCTGCTCGATGGAGGGACGTGATCGTTGGGGACGGACGGTAATTCGGGATATTTTATATCGGAGGATATCAAATCAACTGTGATTCTTTCTCTGTTTTTTGAAACGTCATTTCGCGTTGAATTGGCATTCAACGTCGCCGCAGGTTGGCCCCCAATGCTCGGTCTCACGATTTCCGTCGGCGGAATGAAGGGCTCGGGTTCTTCAAAGTCCAAGTCTACATCATCATCGAAATCATTTTCATCGAAGTAAACAGCACTGTGTAGGGACCCTAATGCAGATTCACCGGCACTGGTCATCTCGATCTTTCGCTTAATGCCTATTGATTGTGGAGGTGGGGTCGGCTTTGGCTGCACAATGCCATTGCTGCGAAACAGATTGGATTGAAGCGGCTTCACAGGACCTGCGGAGTGGTCTTTCACGGCCTTCTTGAACATAGCCGCTTCCTGTGTCGCTCCCAAGGGTCCAGCTGTTGAGTACCGAGCAGTTCGCGAAATCAGTCTTGGACCATGTATGCAGTATTGGCGGAGTAGAACGAGGTCCCTTCTGCTAATTTTGGACACATGCATATAAATCTCGCCTCGTATGTGATGCTGATCCGCTGAATGGAAGGAAGAGCACAAAAGTCGATCGTAATGATGGTTATCTAGAACTTTTCGCGACCCAAGTCGCGCGTTTCAGTTCGAAATGCGGATAGAACGCGCTGCATTATCACACGTGATCGCGATAAGGACTTTTCTTTTGCTTATCTGCATTGATAAGGACGGCCTTCAATAACAACCAATGATGCAAGTCGCATTAGTTTCTCCCCACGATTGTACAAAACCCGAGAAGCAACCAAAAATCAATTGAGATCAATCCATTGAAGCCGTTTTGATTCAATCAGCGTTTATAAATAGACCATATATCCGACTCTGATAGTCCGAACCTCGCGAGACATAAGTGTCCCGTGTCACGTGATCGCGCATTGCCCGACGCGCGCGAGATCAATAATGCGGAGTTTGCAAGACTCGGTCCATTTCCAAACCCCAACAGGCCCTGCAATCCTGCTTTGCCAATCATGAAGCATGGCACAGAACTCAACTTCCAGTAAGTACACGCTCCGACCAGTGTCCATGACTGTGGCATTGCTAACATCACTCCAGACAAGGAACACCCTCTTGCGGGTGTGGTCCTCTGCTTTACCTCTATTCTGCCAGAACAACGGGTATGCGCAATTCCGTGATCATTTTGACCGATTGGCAATATCAGCGTAATCACTGACTTTCGGGCCCCCTATAGACTGAGCTAGCCACAATTGCCAGTCAGATGGGAGCAGCTCACAAGTTCGACCTCACGTCCGATGTCACACATTTGCTTGTCGGCGAGATCAATACCGCGAAGTATAAGTTTGTCGCACGGGAGCGGAGTGACGTTGTTGTTCTCAAACCAGAATGGGTTGAGGCAGTGCGGCAGTCATGGATGCGGGGTGAAGACACCGACATTCGGGCGTTAGAGCAGCAGTATAGACTACCAACCTTCATGGGCTTAGCTATCTGCATAACAGGCTTTGAGGATAGTATGAATACGCCCTCTGATGCTTCCATCTACCGACGAGACTAATGGTCATTGTTAGTGGCTTATCGAAATTACATTCAGGACACCGCTGTCTCGCATGGCGCTGACTTTAGGAAAGACCTTACGAAGAGTGTGACCCATCTCATCGCGCGGAACACAGAAGGCCAGAAGTACAAATTCGCGACACAGTGGAACATTAAAGTTGTTACGATCAAGTGGTTCACTGACAGCATCGAGCGTGGAATGGTTCTTGACGAAACTCTATACCACCCTCTTCTACCACAAGAACAGCAAGGTGTGGGCGCATGGAATCGCACACTGCCACCAGCCAAGGAGAAAGCTGCGGAAGCTGAGAATTCATCCAATCCGCGGCCTAGGAAGCTGCGCAGGATCGCAAGCACTAAGCTCGTTGACCAGAACGAAGGAATCTGGGGTGATATCGTGGGTGCAGGATTCGAGAACGAGCTGAGATTGTCAACGAACAGCCAACCTAAAAACGGCAACCTGACATCCATGAAAATCACGAGAAAAGCATCCGTTGTGCAGGAAGTTAAATCCTTTGCCAGCGAGACCACGTTTGCGGAAGCCCAGGGGTCTCGTCCAGAAACTTCTGAAGTGAGACCTGCTAACAGCAATGGTTTTCTGGATGGCTGTTATTTCTTCATATATGGATTTTCTCCCAAGCAGGTTTGTATCGCCGGCTTCTCTCCTCGTTCTGATCTGACTCTCCCCAGACCGGTGTACTGCGTCACCACCTTTCATACAACGGAGCTCAGCTCGTGAGCTCTTTAAGCGAGTTTTCGCGCCCAGACATTCCTAAAAGAGGGCATGGACTCTACACGATAGTGTCGTATAAGACGCCGCGGTCTGAGATCCCCTCCACGGATGATCTGGCGTTCGAGTGTGACGTGGTGACCGACATGTGGCTGGAGAGATGCCTCGAGGCGAAGACCTTAGTGCCACCCGAATCTCACATCGCATGTACACCCTTGCCCATATTTCCCATTCCAGGTTGGTAATACCTTTGAACGCCGTGAACTGTCAACTGACCGAGCTAGGATTCCATGGGATGAAAATCTGCTCGACCGGGTTTTCTCGCATCGATCTATTGCATTTATCAAAGCTGGTCGATTTAATTGGTGAGCCACTAAAATTTCACCAGTTTAAATGGATACTGACCGTGTAGGTGCTACATATGACGAGTACCTAACGCCGAAAGCCTCTGTCCTGGTATGCAATGACTCGCGCTCAATGAATAACGAAAAGCTGCGACACACTTCCGAGTGGAAAATCCCAGCTGTCACCGTGGATTGGCTATGGTCCTCCATCCTATCAGGGCAGAGAAAGGCATTCGAACCATATATTATACAGAGGTTGTCGCAACCCGAAAAGAGCTTGGAAGTGCGAGCTGGCTCTCGTACGGAGCAGAAACGTCTATCCGAGAGCTCTGATAAGCCCAACAGGACTGCGCAGCCAGACTCCCAAAATACGGAATCAAAGAGACTTGATCTGAACGGGTCCACCAAGAGCAATGCTGCTGATAAGCCCTCCAAACCCAATACTGAAGATGAATCAGTGAAGCCACCACTTCCATACAAACGACCCTCACAGTCAGCATCAGTCTCACCTACCAAAGAAACCCGACCAACAAACACAGCCTCACCCTCAAACAAGCGAAAAGCATCAGACCAATACACAACCTCCGCACAATCCGCAATCGAACTCGCCGTAAGCGGATTTCTCAAGCAAGCACGAGCAGCAAACTCGCGTTCAAAATCCGATACACCAGACCAAGAAAGCGATAGCCTCCGCCGAAGGCGCCGGAAACCACTCCTCGGACGAGCACCATCCCACTCCTCCGCACAGGGCGTCTTCTCCCGCGCCAGCTCAATCGACACACTCAACGAAGATGGATGCGGCAGTGCCGTGGAAAGCATCAACACAGAGGGGATCAACTCTTTCCTTACAGGCGGGCGATTCGAGCTCTCAGAATCTCAACGTCGGATCGAGGAAGAAGAAGATGAGGAACCTGCAATGACGCAGCTGAACTACGAGGATCCCGATGCCGTCAAAATGCGCGAAGAGTTCCTGAGTCATGCTGGCAAACTCGCCAATAAGAAGAGATCTGCCGATCAGGGCGTGGTGGTGGGTGAGGTCAGGGAATTGGAGGATGTTGGCTGGGGAACAGGTCGAAGGACGAGGAATGCGGTTAAAAATTCGGAGGATGAGTTGTAAATGAAGGTTTATGATCTGGTCTGATTTTATATGAGCTTTGCATTGCTTTCGGTGTATATTTCTTGGTTTGTCCGGTGCATTGCATGGTACGACGGCGTCTTTTGTTGTCTCTGGATTCGGGACATTGAGATACACCCATAGGCGTGAAGGTCGTGCAGATATTTTTCCCTTATATGATTTGATGCTATAACTTCATGGGCCTATGTAAATAGGGATTATGTGTCATTTTGAACCTTAGAGAGGTGCCTCGCCAGGTACATTAGGCGAGAATATTATTAGCCCTAAGCCATAGACCCCGTCACTAATATTTGAGATATTGCTCAATACAACCTTGTCTACAGCGAGCAAATGAGCAGTTGCAGAGCATACTCAGTCGCCATTGTACTAAAGGTGTGATAAGGATCTCAAATTAGAGGTAGAACCAGGTACAATGTATAATGAACAAAGGGGCTCAAGGGTACGCCGTTTGGGATATCTAGTAAGCAAAGGAGGAGTGAAGAGTGGCCGCTACACTGTTAATCAGCCATAAGGACTGTATAGTGAAGGATGAACTCGTTCAAATATCTCAGGGAAATGGGTGCGGACAAGAAAGGAAAGCTTGGAAAGACTGTACAAGAAAAGATGTATGAGAAGGGAAGGAGGAAATGCAACGACATAACAGTCAAGCATCAGGACAAGAAGGGGGAGATTCATATAGCGTCATAATGTTTGTACAGAAAAGGCTCAGCCCTGGGTGGCAGCCAGGCTTCCAGGCAAGGGGGCGTCGAGATCAATATTCTCAACGGATCGTCGGTTCTCTCCACTATCCCGGAAGAGATTGGAGAAGTATTTGCTTGCGGCCTCGCTCTCGCATTTCGTCTTGCTGACCTCCTGCTTACGTCTTCCGAGGTCCTCAATACCTTGAGCGAGGCTGGTCTGCAGATTGCCGGCGGGTATACGGAGGATGCGGCGAACCTCAGTCGAGATACGGGTGGCATTGGAGTGCACGTAGTCCATTTCGGACAGAGTAGCGGCAAGCTTGCGCGAGAGACGAGGGGGAAGTGTTTGCGGGATTGACGAAAGTATGTAAGCAGTGGTCAAGACGGCTGTTGAAAATTAGCCGGAAATCTCGAATAGCAGAATTGAAGATGACAGGAAACTTACCAGCAGCGACGATACCAGGTAGGAGGAGACGGCGCAAGTTGTTGGGCCCAAGGAATTTGGCGGCGCTAAACATGCTATCTACCCAGCTGCCTCCGAAGGCTCGACCACCGAGAACTGTCACGGCAGTCATGGCCATTCCAGTGCCAGCCATCTTCTCCTGTCGTTCCCACAAACCGGCAAAATCGAAGAAGTCCCAGATCTCCACCTCAGTGTCGACCTGTCTAGCCAGAGTGTGGCGACGACCGCGGCGGAACATTGCATCGGCACGGAAGTTCAATGGAGCGAACTTGTCCTCTCCAACATGCAGCAAACCAATTTTCTGAATGAATCCAACTCCTTGAACAGACTTTGCCCGCGCGTAGTCCTCGCAATCAGCGACAGATGCAGAGATCTGCTCCAGCATTGCTAGTTTGAGATCCTCAGCATACTGGAAAGCAGAGAACAGACCAGGGTATTCAACACCTAGGTCTGCCTCGGACACTCGCGAGATGGTGTCCGTTAATGTTGAACGCGTATGGCTGTAGACATCCTCGCACGAGTTGTCGATACACTTTTCAACTTCATCACCGAGCTCGACCTGTTTCTTCTTGCCATTTTCAAAGGCTGGTTCGAGCTCAGCAAGCTCGTCTGTAACGCGCTTGAGTTCCGACTGAGCGATGTCACGATTAACAGCTGCTAATGAATTGATATCCGCAAGCAGGTTGAGAAGATATGTTCTTGCAGGCGCGAGCTTGGAACGAGCGCGCTTCTCCAGGACGAATCGTCTGAGAGAGCTCTCCAGGTTCTCAAAATCTCGAATCTTCTCCCTGTCCTTTCCTTTGCCCTTCCCTTTATCGTCAGACTGGTCGTTATCATCATCTCCATGAGGATCAGAGCCTCCACCGCTGCCACTGCCAGATTGCTCCATCGGAATGGGAGGTGCAACCGGGACGGCATTGCTCGAGACAAAGTGAACCAGCTCGGCAGCTTCCTTATACGTACGAGGACTGAGCTTGCCAATCTGATCCAGGATCATGCGTTCGCAACGTTGCTTATCACGAATCTGATCAAACCCATTGACAACAATAAAGATGTAAGCCTTCTCATGAGCAGCATTCAAGATGAACTCTTTGGCGGAAAGTGTAAAGTGGTTGGCGGCGGATACGACGAAAACAACCACATCAATTTCCTCCTGCCGGGCAAAAACAGCTGTCGTCTTTAACGAGTCTGAGTTGAGGCCGGGTGCATCAATTAAAGCGATATCGACCACCCCGTTGTTGAGGAGCGATTCGTCAATCGTTCGGACGTCCTTCACGTAGACCTTGCATTGCATGTACTTGGAGTTGTCGATAACGATGTTCTCGAGTTCCGGGAGAGTATACACATCGTAGGTACTTTCGTCGTTACGATTGTATTGCTTATCCTTGTGCACCGCATGTACCTCCTCGACTCCACTGTTCTCTCGTGCATCGAGAACCTCGCAGAAGATGCTGGTGCAGGGTTGCTGGTCCTCGGGAAGCACCTTGCGACGCAGCAAAGCGTTACAGAAAGTCGATTTCCCGGCATTCAGGTCTCCAGTGATCAGCACCTTGCTGGATGTGTCCTCGATCCTGTCCCGCAAAGAAAGAAGATGTTTGACGCTCTGGCTGATTTTTCCGTCCAAGAGTGATGCAATCGAGGCCTTCTCCAGTGAGTGTACCAACTCGGTCTGTGACAAAGCACCGAGCTTCAGATCCAACTTCAGTATCGAGAATTCCTGCGCAATCTGGGGGCTCATCAATCTTGGTTCAGGTGGAGGTCGCCGTTCCGCAGCCGCACTCGACTCCGCTAAGTCGTCGCTTCCTGACATCGTGGCTGCGCGTCGCATTTGTCCTGGCCGTGGGAAAGGCTCTGATTGAATGGATTCGTTTTCGAAATATGACTGACTCTGTCGTAGACCTGGTCTTTGCGAAGGTGAGCCGGGGCTACCCGGAGCGCTCTGTACAGATGGATAGTGTGCTGGCCACTGGCGGTTCATATCCTGAAGCTCCTTCAACGTTTCAATCGTCCGGGAAATCGCACGTCCGAGTTTCGTCCGATTCGAGTTACTGAAAAGAAGACTTGTTAGCCCCTCGACACGAGTTGCGGCTAATTTTTCGGCACATACTAGAGTAGTTGATGAACATGGCTCGCAATCACCTGCTTCTCATGCTCGGCTGTATCAACCACACGTTAGCAACAATACTCCAATTCCATCACCCCTTATCATCCCAACACGAACAGAACTACGAACCAGCTGGATTCCAATTACCAACACTGGGAGGCGTAGGCATCGGCGTCGGTTCATCCACCATCAAATCCGCCCGCCACCCAGCCCTCTCATCACCATCCATCACACTCCCACTCGCGATACTCCCGCCATAACCCGAATCCGCATTCAACGAAGCCATGAGAGCTGTAGCACTCTCGGAAGTCGACCCATTCCCAACAGTCATGTACGTAGGCGGGGGTCGTGGATAAAAAGGGCTGTTCTCCGAGGTGACGTCTTCTGGCGGATGCCGAGAGGATCCCTCTCCGGCCGACGAGGTGCCCTTGCCGGGGAAATACTCCTGACTCATGGCGAATATCGTGTGCGTTGCACCGACTTCGAAAATAACAGGATGGAAGAGTGTTTGTGGAAAGCGGGTTTAGGTGATGAAGATGGTTCCACTGGGAAATTTCATGACGCCAGGCGCTGGACTAGGCCCGAAAGGGGCTGGCGGCTGCATGTGACTTCCTCCCGCGGCAATCAATGGCCGCGTATTGTTCTTTACCCCGTCAAGGCTCTGCTTAGGCGGGTTGATGTCACCGACCGCAGGCTTCCACCTGATAAACATACTGCTGCGCATATCACAATTGCTGTCTGTTTGAGGAGGCACGTTTCCTTTGACCAGCGTCTTCAATCGCTACATAGATCTTTTGTGCTCATCATGAATGTACGTGGTACACCACATCACCTCTGGTTTCCCCACTTACAGGCCTCTTCTAGATCGTCGAGTGGGCATTCGGAAAGCGCATGACGCCAGCGGAGCGTCTGCGCAAGCACCAAAGAGCGCTCGATCGGACGCAGCGAGAACTAGACCGGGAACGAGTCAAGTTGGAAAATCAGGAGAAGAAGCTGATCCAAGACATTAAAAAGAGCGCCAAGAATGGCCAAATCGGAGCCTGCAAGATCCAAGCAAAGGATCTGGTTCGGACGAGAAGGTATGTATAGCATAACTCAGCCATCTTTTTCTTCACCGTTTCTCTTGATTAACTTGTCACTTGCGATCAGGTACATCCAGAAGTTCTATCAAATGCGGACGCAATTACAGGCCATTTCCCTCCGTATTCAGGTACGGTAGCTGTTTGAGATTTGGGGGATCAGTGCGCTGACATTTGACATACAGACCGTCCGAAGCAACGAACAGATGATGCAGTCTATGAAAGGAGCCACGATGCTTCTAGGAAGCATGAATCGCCAGATGAACCTCCCCGCGCTTCAACGGATTGCGATGGAGTTTGAACGAGAGAACGATATCATGGACCAACGGCAAGAAATGATGGACGATGCGATAGACGAGGCTACAGGTCTAGAAGGAGAGGAAGAGGAAGGCGAAGACATTGTGAAGGAAGTTTTGGATGAAATTGGTGTTGACCTCAGCCAGGCGGTATGTCCATCCAGCGGGCTACTTTCATACTTGCGCTTTACTGACATTTCTACGACAGCTGGGTGAAACCCCAACAGATATCCAGAAAACAGCGGTTGGCGAGAGCAGAGTTGCCCAAGCGGTTGGAGCCGGTGGGACTGCCAGCGATGACGATCTTCAGGCCAGGCTTGACAGCCTTCGGCGGTAACGATACGACACTCGACCAAATTACTCCCTTACGCCTATGCCGGATATCCACTTAGGAATATGTCTTATTGCTAGATGGAGTACTAGGGATATCCTTAATGAGTTACGAATGTCAATAATTTCTTTTATCAGAAGCCCTGTGGTTTTGTCAGCATTTCAGAAATCTACTTACAGTCCGGCTCGCACACTAGGTTGAAAATGATTCTGATGTTAATCAAAGTCATGGATCTCTATGAGGAAAAACCTAAATTAGCTGGAATGAAACAATTTCCTCGCAGTCATAAATCACAAGTGAAATGAACGCTTGCCTATGCTTTTCGCCAAAAAATGGAAATCTATCACGCATCCTGTGTCGGATCGGTGGAATGCACCTCTACCTTCGCTCAAAACACTCGCGAGGTATATCTGGTCGCTCGAACAACCTGTCAATGTGATAAGCCCATTGGCCGAACCAAGGGAACGAAGTCAGCTCGCTGAGTCTTGGTCGCTGCTCTGGGTCCCTTTGGAGCATCGTTCGCAGCGCGTCCACGCAGTCCTGCGACAAATCCTCCCGAACAGCCAATTCCTCGTTGATCATTCGCTTCCGTCTGGCATAAGCCGCGTCCCAACGTTTTCCTTGGTCGTATGATTCATGAGGCTCCTTGTACCGGTTATTGATAATCTTCACAGCGAAATCGCCAACGGTACCTATGGCACGGTCGTATTTCGGATCCTCCCAGGGCGCGTATCCATGCAGCAAACAAAACACCTCCACGGCATATTTCCAGAGCGCGGTTTGACGCGTATCATTTCTGCAATTGACATGTACGATTCCTCCTGGTGTTTCTCTCACCTGTTTGCGCCGTTCTGGCTTCAGCAACTCGACTGCAACCTCTGGAGGCAGTTGATATTCTTGCCAAAAGAGGTAAGTGTAGAAGGGGTTCATGAAATCCCGATCATTGAGCCCAAAGCCCATTAATCCAAAGTCGATCAGTTCTGTCTGTACTCGAGAAGAGACTGTTAGCCAGGCCCCTGATGGTCAACTTCAGGGAAATCGGAGATGAACTGGGGGGGGAGGGTGGAAGGAAAGAAGCAAAAGAGGAAAAGCAAGCTTCAACGAAACTGAAATTTACTTACGTCAAGATTCTCGCCCACAAGGTAATTGCGATAGGATAGGTCGTCATATGTGAGGTTCATATCACGGAGGTAAGCGAATGCTTCCAAGAGCTGCGTCGACACCTTGCAGGCCTCAAGCTCATTCAACCTTGGCTTCTTGGTAGGAGTGCGGAGATGAAACCCTTCAACGGCCCAGGCGTTGTCCCACTCGTTCATTGCCTCCGAGAGTTGGAGTGTATCGTAATCCATACAAGCAGACATGACGATCGCGATTTTGTCCTTCTCAGTGTAGACAGAGTGGAGGGTTGGAAACCTTGGGCTGCGAGTCAATAAGAGCATGATCATTGCTTCACGTGGTATATAACGAACATTTCCACCCTCTTCAAAGAACATCATTTCGTTTTCAGTTTGTCCCACAAACTCCATGGTCGCAATGGTGTTATGTTCCTGAACCTTGATGGCAAAGTTAGCCTGTCCGTTAGGAGTGTGTTTGTGGGCAAGGAACACGGTGCCGAAGCCTACAACAGGTCATTAGCTACCAGTCAAGGGATGGGTCAACACCGAGAGAAGAAACAGATGAACATACCTCCAGAACCAATGCGACCAGATAGTCTCACCGTCCGACGAAGCCTTTTGCACATACCCGCGAGTCTTTCCTCGGCCTTTTGGTTCTCATCGAGCTTCCTTGATCGGCTCGGTTCCCTCCGAACGTTCATTTGGAAGCAATGGCTGTCAGGTCTGTATTTTTTCTGGATCATTCTGCTCGCGCCTAGGCTGTACTTGTGCGAGCACCGGGAGACCGGTCGTCCGCCCCTCAGAGCCAGGCTTGTCCTCAGTCGGCCCGCAATGACTCGATGAAGAAGTGGATATGTTCTTGAAACCAGACTGTCTGGCTGAATGAGGAGGGGGATAGTCTTGTCGAAATGGTGGCCATCAGGCATTCTCTGCGGGTGTATGCCCAAACTGTCCGAAGGATCAACACAGTCCGAGTCAGTCGTGTCGCTCTGGGCTGTAGCATTTGTCGCAACAGTCGGATTCGTCACATTGTTCGCATTGTTCGCGCTTGTTGCGTTTGCTGCATTCGCTGCATTCGCTGCATTCGTCCCAGATCCATAGCCAGGGAAGACCGGACTGTTGTTGACATACGATCGTCCTACATTGGACGGGGTGCTGATGTTGAACCTGGGCCCTGAGGAACCTGCAGCAGCTTCTTTTGGGGGGTTGTTTGAATCTGACATCTTAGCGTATGCAAAAGCTGAAAAAGTTGTTTAAATGAAAGTTGAAATGATGTTTTCTGGAATCTTCCCGCAGTCATAAGGGGGAAATGCGTATACTATATACCCTGGAAACGGCATCTCTCCCTCCATAGATTGCTTTCAGATCTTCTATGCTGCAATCCGAAAATAGAAGATTGATGAAGCCATCATGAGCCGGAAGTTGGTCTCATTGTTCAGTGACAAAGGGGTAGATACTCAATGTTGTGCTTGATAATGACATTCGCCTGAACAGCGAAATTAGCAATGTCAACAAAGGGTTTCATGTCGGATATTCCACTGAGACTGCCTAGACAAAGGGATTGCGGATACGCAAATGCCCTCTCATCTGGAAGTCATTGTCCTCTCACGATTTGAAGGGGCTCTTTGGACACTCTTCAGCTCTTTGTCAATTTCACAAAACATGGTGCTGTCGTGTTTCAACCTCCCATTGATAAAGACCTTAACGTTGGAAAGACAAGGGAGCGTCTCAATCCAGATATTGTCTGACAAAGAGCATCATTCATGATATTGTAATTGAGCCCTCTCATGGAGCTATTTTCACTCGATCTTTGTTGGTCTCCAAAAGGGCATCTGGCTCCGTGACCCAGGCAGACAATGTCAAGGGGATCTGACTTTATTTTTAGTCAAAAATGGGTTGAGTGTGGGTAATTCAAGGAGGAGGTCGTTCCATTCAACGTTCCAATTTCGAATTCTTCATAGTCTCCGTCAAGATATGTTTCGTATTCAGATCACACAAGATGTCAAATTACCGACTGATTTGAGACCAGCATTGCTGCTTCAATTGAATTATGATCCGCTTTAACGGCTTCCTAAGCTACAGGGATCAATCAACTCACAGGCTGATGAGGCCTGCCTTAGTTCGCCAGGGCAAAAAAAGGATAAATGGTACACCCGGGCAACATAAGCAGAGGCCATCCATCCCTGTCGACATACTCCATGACTGATGATTATGAGCGATAATTTCAATCAAGATGGGGCCAAAAAAAACTTCTTTCAAGCCACGGCAATCATGGATGACTTGCCGTGCAGGTATCTGTCTCTGCACGCAAGTCAACAAAACTGTAGAGACAAAGGATCATATCCACTTGACATGTGGGCTGTGGGCCTTGCATGATTATCGCTGATTGCTGCAAGTCAAAAGGCAAGGATACAGTAGCTTGAAACATGATGACTACGTCCTGTGGATGGCTGATGCGAATGACTGCACAGAGGCGAGATGGTGCCTGCTTTGAGCCTCTCTTGGCTGCAGGATCGAGCGGCGCGAAGTACTCAATCCCCCCTGCTTGCACAATCTCATCCACCAGTCACAGAACGAAGGCACCTTATCAAAACAAAATCCAACACCGGGGGTATGTGACGTTGGAAGGCAGTCTAGGCTGCAATGCCAGTCTTTGCTTCTTTACTTGAAGAGCAGAGCCTCGTGAAAAAGCAACTCATCATTTTGGAGACAGGCAGTGATGCAGATCCACGGTAGTACAGGGCATCCACAGTTGCACGATGAATCATCTACATCCCCAACATCGTATTCCGTACAGTCAAGTTCTTGTTTTGATTACTCTCTGATCAAGACCAACATTGACCAAGGTCTTCAATTCGACTTTGATTTTACTCCGTACTATGTCTCCTGCACAGCCACTGGTTTGCGGCTGAGACCTCCACGACCAGAAGCAACAGCCTCAGCAACCAGGCCAGAGCGTCTCACAGTTAACTTGCCCGGGCACATCCTGCGCCCCATTGCCCTCGTGTTTCTGTGCCCTGAGAGGCAGCTCTGCGACACCCCTGGTCATTATTTCGTTATCATCGACGAATCATCCACTTGACCAGGGGACTTGCTCGTGATTTCATCCCTCCAGGGTCGAAAATTTTTCTGGTCGCGTGTGAAGAGAGTGCAGAGCAAATGGCAAGGCAGAAGTGCATGGATTCTTCACACCCTAAAACTCCATCTCTGAGTGGTTGCTCAGCAGCCGCCTTTTTGCATTGAAAAGGGCCCAAAGAACCCCTCCAGGTCCTGCTTTCTGCCTGGAGCTTAAACATGTCTCTGTGTCCTTTTCCTTAGCCTTGATGTTTATGGTCTCTTCGTCATCTGTATATCCCATTAGGTGTCCTTGACTCTGGAATTCCTTGCTTTGACTCGTATATGTGGTATTAGCCCGGAGTGTCTTCCCTTACCTCCTCTGACTGTGCTCTCGTCTTGGTGCTGGTACAGAAAGCACTCTTCTGCAAATCATGGTGATCGTCAATCAGAATATGGGTCCGCCTGTCCCTCCTCTTCATCATCTGCCAGCTCATCCGCACGAGGATCCTCGCATCATTCAGCACCGTGTTCCTGGCCAGATAGATCCTGCATATTTGGCGGACCAAATGGCTCAGCTTCACATGGACCCCCAAGGGTCTGCCCAAGGCGGCTACCAGCAAACAGGCCACGCCGCTCCCCTCAGAGAACACACACGTTCACCATACTACTACTTTGGGTACACCTTCTTCAAGGCCGAGGCAGCACCCGGCCAAAAGTCCACTTGGAACAACGTTCAGAAAACAAGGATGAACTTGAGCCAGGCGGATCTGTTTCAGTTGGTGCAGAAGCAAGCAAAGAAGTCTACTGCAGTTCAGCAATATCAAGCACTATCAAAATTGAAACGAACTCATGTGGATCAATTAATCAATGAGCACAGACGCAGTGACCCTCGATTTGAATGGACCTGCGCTTACATCAGAGAGGACTCAAAGCCGGTTAAAGGCAAGGGTGCTCGTCGGGGTGACTTTGAGACGCTCTCGATGGATGTGGTTATTGTGAGAAGACCGGTGACGGTCGAACCGGCGGATGTACAGGCTCATTCCAAGCCCAGGGAGGAGCACCCTGTCGCTCCTAATAACTTCGTGGCGGAAGATGTGCATAGACCGAGAGTTGTCGAGGTGAATGGCCAATGGAGTGAGCCGGGTATCAATCATGCACAAATGCCAGCAAACATGAATCATGTGCAGCAACATCCTCAGCATGCGTACCAGCAACCACATTTCCCTGCTCAGGGCCACCCTGATGCAGCAAGGCAGCAGCACCTTCATCAGACGCAGTGGGCAGGAATGCACCAACAACCAGAGATACACCATCACGGGATACCTCATTCAGGCAGCAGCCCTCAATTTCAGCCACAAAATCCGGGTATCCGTATCATCCCAGTTGGTCCTGATGGACATCCTCAGAGCCATGATCGTGGTCTTGGTCCAAATCAAGTTGATCATCATGCGGATCAACCCTTCATGAGGCCAGAAGTTCATAATCAAACCAAAGCCAATAAAGCATATACACCCCGGTCGTCAAGTCAGCACGTCGGGCCTGAGGCAGAATGGCCTCCTGAGTCAAGCAGCATAGGAGACGATGAGTCCGAGCTGTTTGACTTTGAGGACGAAAGCTCGGCTACCGAAGGCTCCGAGGACATTATTGACGAAACGCCAGAAAGATCGAAATCATGGCGCGGAAGTCTTCATCGCCAAAACTCCGCGTCAAGACAAAACCGCCCTGAGGTCGCTTACAGGACTCATTACCGCAAGAAGCCGACCAAAACTGCTTCAGACCCGAAGCTCAACCGCGCCAAATACCCAGTCGGCTATGTCGAGGTGATCCCAGCAAATAGCAAGCAATCAAGCAAGCGAACTGTGAAGCCTCAACCCAAAGAGAGTGCCGTCCAACAACAGCCCCGGAGCCGGGCCAAGATTGTGCAAGCACCTGCGAACTCGGACGATCTGGACCTAGTATATCTCGGTGAAAAACAGCTGAAGGGCCGTGAGATAAATGACATCAGAACGCGAATCCTTGATGATCGGGAAGCGAGAGTGGAACGGCGAGAAAAGCTGGTCGAGCATCAGGCTCGGATGCTGGACGAGAAACTCGAGGAAGCGCGTTATTTGGACCGACACCTGTCGCTTCGAGAACCAGGTCTCTTCCAGCGTCGATATTACCTGTGATTTTCTCTGCGTCTTTCTTCAGTCTCCTTCCATTTTCTCCTTATTTTACTATAATTTGTTTTTCGTTCTTTTTTCCCTCTCTGTTTCCCATGCTGTTATGTACATTTCGGGGTTTCGGTCAATCGGTCAACAGGGATACCACGGGAACATGGGCGTTACTAGTAAATCTTGTCTGTTGATAATTAGCTACATACAATTATACAGAACAATAGTTCTGAATAGCCTGGATATATTTCGCAGATGACAAGCCGGTCATCCTTCTCTTATCAGACGAACCAATTGTAGAATCATCTCATATGTGCACGCAGCAGGACAGCTCATCAACTCCGCCGGTGAGATGAGGTGGACAAAAAGTGACGCAGTAGTAGTAGCTGTTATCGATAAGCCCCTCTCTGTTTCTGCCAGTTCGGCAAGGCATTCAGCCCTTCAGCCCCGCTGTCTCCCGTTTTCTCTTCGTGTTCCTTCGTCATAAACTCCATAATAAATGGAGGTTACTCCAAGCTAATAACTTCCTGCTTTTCTTCCCTCATACTCGTGTTCAGATTCATCTCCTTTCGCCAATTTCCCCATTGTCTCCATTTCTCCATACCCTCAGCCAAAATGCCTCGCCAATTCTTCGTCGGTGGTAACTTCAAGATGTGAATGAGCTCTAACACAATGCCCCGCAGTCCCCCTCGCAGCTTCACCATCCCGGCCCGCAAAAGTACAGCTACTAACATCTCGGCGCAATGATAGGAACGGTGTCACTGACACCATTACCTCTATCATCAAGAACCTCAATGAGGCCAAGCTCGACCCCTCTGTCGAAGTTGTCATCTCCCCCTCTGCCCTCTACCTCCTCCTTGCCCGCCAAACTGCCGACTCCAAGATTGGCATTGCCGCCCAGAACGTCTTCGACAAGCCCAACGGTGCTTTCACCGGTGAAATCAGCGTTGAGCAGCTCAAGGATGCTAAGATTGACTGGGCTATTATCGGACACAGCGAGCGTCGTGTTATCC